GCAAAAAGGTAGGTACCGGAGGGGGGGGGGGGTTGCATATATATATATATATATATGTATATATATGCATATGCAAACACACGCACACACACACACACATGTGCGTGTATATGTTTATAGATACACACATGCTGGAGATGTATAGATGTATGCGTACAAGTCCGTGTAGGTGCATATGTATGAGAAGGTGCTTGGGGAAGACAGAACCTTTGCTTAGCTCAGAGCTCGTTGAAATGCAAACTGTTGCAGGAGAGTTCAGAATCTTCAGAGATGGCAATGTTGGGGCCTTAATAATTAGAATATGGTTTCTGGGCTCCTTATTATTTCCGTATAATCATAGCAAAAGATACCAGGGCCCCTATAGTACGCTGTGTTTTCAGACGGCCTCTGCCGTAAGCGGTGCGTCGTGGATCAAGCCTTGAACCTCAGCTGCGAGCTCTGATAAACCGTTTAGGGTTTAGGGCTTATAGGGTTTAGGGTTTAGGGGTTTAGGGGTTTAGGGGATTAGGGTTTAGGGGTTTAGGGTTTAGGGTTTAGCAGGGCAAGTTCAGCATGGAAAAGAAAGAAACTGTAGACATGCGAGAACCCTTGCACAGTGAGGTCATCCATGTGCTGCCCCAGCAAAGCTACTGGCATGAAGTGCCGCTGAGTTCTGACAGCAAGATATGTTGCAACATACGGTTGCTGATAAAAATCCTGCATTAGCCTTCATAAGGAATATAGCATAATTCCCATAGTTTAGGGTGCTTAAGGTAACGCAGGATTTATATCATCAACCGTATCATCTTGCTTGGGGATGATGAAAGAGGTTCTGAAAGTTTTCTGGGATGCGCGCGAAAGCTTCGGATGCTATTGCTGCCACCCTCCTTGCATGGGAGGGGCACTGTCTGGTTGGTACACATCTGCTGGCATCTCTCACAGGGCTTAGCGCGATATATAGGGGCCTAAATAATTAGAATAGGGTTTTGAGGTATATTATACCATAATTATCATAAGGAACACCCAAAGTAGTATAGTCGATTGTTTAGGCCCCTACAAGAGGGGTTGTCCCAGATCCATGAACAACAAAGATGCTTGCACTGCATTTCGCTTTGCTCCTGAGTTTCTCCAGGTCCAGCACGCGGCTTGCAGCCAGTGTGCGCAGGGAACACAGCACCTCTCATTTCAACCCTTTAGGGTTTAGGGTTTAGGGTTGCAGGGAACACAGCACCTCTCATTTCAATCGGAGATTCTTGGAAGCAACTTCCCACGGATGCTGAGACCATGAATCGTTGCGGGCTGGTGTTTGCGGCAGCACTCTCTCTTCTCGGCACCTTCAGCGCTGCTGAACTCATATCGGGCGCCTTGGAGCACACTGCATGTTCAAGTCAAGGCATACCGCAGCACAGACATGTCGTGGTAGCAGACCCCAAACCCCTAAACCCTAAACCTTTAAACCCTAAACCATGAACTCTAAACCGTGTCCTAAATCCTGGAGTTGATGCTTGTGATTCGCCACGTTCAGCTGCTCTCAAGTAATATAGAAGCCTTAATAATTAGAAAAGGGTTTTGGGGTATACTAAACCGTAATTAAAACTAGGAACCCCCAAAATCGTATTGGTAATTATTTAGGCTCCTATAGGAGATGCCATCTGCAAGCTCTGGGAGCCCGAAGCAGTGAAGAGTCTCGTCAATGATGACAGGATGATAAGCTCTAAGGTTTTTAGCTGGTTTAGGGTTTCGGGTTCAGGAGTTTAGGATTTAGGGGTTTAAACGGTTTAGGGCTTAGGGTGATGAGATCCTTCACCTTGCTTGTTTGCCAACTGTTTCTTCGCGCAGGTGGCAGAAGGCTCATCCCGAATTGACATGTAGACAACGCACGATGTCCCACCCTGAGCCCTACAGCCCTATAGCTGCTAAACCATGCTAAACCCTTCAACCTGAAGCCACGCCAAAGTACGGCTGATTATATAAATCCTGCAGTACCCATGAAAAGGAACACATACCATACCTCCCATAGTTTAGGGTCCTTAAGGTAATGCAGTATTTGATATCATCAACAGAATGGCTAAGGTCCCCAAAACCCTATACCCTACAACCCTAAACCCCTGAACCCTAAACCCTAAACCCTAAACCCTAAACCCTAAAACCCTAAAACCCTAAACCCCTTAAACCCCCCTGAGCTGAAGCCAAAGTAAATGATAGGTGCCACGCCGTCCACTCGGCCTGGCCGTGTAGACTGGGACATCACAGAAGGCCCCCCTCACGGTTTAGGGTTTAGGGTTTGGGGTTTTTTAGGGTTTAGGGGCAGTTGGGTTTAGGGTTTAGGGTTTGGGGTTTAGGGTTTAGGGCCAGTTGGGTTTAGGGTTTAGGGTTTGGGGAAAAGGGTTTAGGGGCAGTTGCTCACAGCTTGAAGTTAGGACTTTGCGTTTGAGTGGTTAGTACTCGATCAACCAGTTAACCCAACACTTAAATCCCTGCTTAACGGAATCATTAAAGGGAAATGTAAAATTCTGCCTCCCAGAACTCTGCCATCAATCCTGATAGAGTAAACTTGAAGAGGAACCCTGCAAAATCTTAACTCCTCTTGCAGAATCCCGAAACCGTAAGCCCTTCTTGAGCCCTAAACCCTTCTCTCTTCTTCATTATCGTTCAACCTTTCAAAGATAGACTACATACATAAGGCCCAAACGTTTTAAAGTTCTCCCATGGGCCACGAAGTCCCTTCTAGAACCCCTATAGATCCCTTATAGAAACCCTAAACCCTAAACCCCTAAACCCTAAAACCCTAAAAACCTAAACCCTAAGCCCTAAANNAACCTTAAACCCTAAACTCTATACATAGAACCCTTTAAAGCAGATCCCCTCGGCTCTGCGATGCTCCCTCTGGAGTTTCTGGGCCTGCCGGGACCGGAGAAAGCTCAGCGTCTGCTCCACCTCATGAGGTTTAGGGTTTAGGGTT